TCAAAATGCCGTTTCTGATATTGAAAGTCAAACTTCTTTTTGAATTTGATGCCTGCAACACGTTCCAAAAAAAGCTGTGTCAGGGTCATGTTTACCTCTGTGTTACACCAGTTTTTAACAACACTCAATAGGTRTTTGGGAACTGAGGTCTTCATTTGTTAAATCTTTGTGGGTGGAATTCTTTCTAACTCTTGCTTGATGAACAACTTCAGCTGTTCAACAGCCCGGGGTCTCCATCGTCATATTTTGCACTTCATAATGCGCCACACATTTTCAAACATGCCCCCGTCCCTGCTTTTTTTTTTTTTTTTTGGAACGTGTTGCAGGTATGAAATTCAAAAACAGTGAATATTTGCAAAAAACAATGAAGTTTATCTGTTTGAACATTAAGTACTTCGCCTTTGTAGTGTATTCTATTGAACACATGTTGAAAAGAATTTGCAAATCGTTTTAATACAACTTCACTGGATGTGGGGTTGTATGAGCTGCAGAGCTCTAAAGAGGGCTGGGTTTTCTCGTCTGACAAAGTCCCATCAATCTGTGACAGCATTTTTTGCGGTAGCATTTTTTGCAAAGTCTGTCTAATTTGTACAACTACCAGGTCAATTTTGCTTCAATGCTTATGGACTTGCATCCTTATCTACTCAGGACTAAACCAAAGCTGGGTCCAGAGTCCTGAGTAGATCTGGTTCCTGTGCTCAATGGAAGCTATGGGAACAGTCCGGGCGATGAAAGCCTCCTCTGTAGGAGCTGAGCTTCAGTTCAGCCAGTCGATCACTTTTCACCCTCTGCTTCCCTGACTCTCGTTTTTCCCTTCCCTTACTCACCCTGGCTTAGTGCTTTTGCATCGGCTTTAATAAACAGGTTTATATTTCAACACTGATCTTTCCTGGGAAACCTCTAGCTGCGGACGGCGAGACTTTCGCATAAAGACTGCCCTCTGATTGGCCTTGCCCAGTCTGCTCCGGTTCCCATTCGTGTCCCCTCGACAACCTCACTGACAGCGAGGAAATATTACACACCTCTGTTTACAAAGCTCTTTGTTTGAAGGGTTAGATGTAGATTCTGGGTCCTTTTTCTAGTCTTCTTATTTGTCCTGAACTAAATACACCTTTAATTGTCTCTTAAATTTTTTGCTATGATAGGATTGTTTTGACCGTCATCAATGAAAAGTTAAAACTGATGTGGTTTTAGAGTTTTACATAGTTAAGAATAATATAACCATTGAGAAAATACAGGAAATTTAAGGCTTTAGTTAGATTATTTTTCCAGAAGTGTAATACATTCCTGTTATGACTTTAAAAACTGCGTTTTTCAGATGATACTCATAAATACAAGGACGGCACACAAGTAGAAAGTAAAATATGTGAGACTGGATTCTGCATCTTGTCTTTTATTTGATCTGGATTTTCTGTTAGGAAGTTCATTTGCCAAGGCGTTATTTCCAGTCCAGACATTTTTACTGTCTCATTTTTCCCCCCTAAGAGACTTTTAATGGAAAGAAAAAAGCCAGGAGGCCGTTAAGCAACCCTTTAACTATTCTGCACAATGTTTTATTTCAAAAGAGAGAACTGTGTAAAATCACTGGTTTAGGATTCTTTGACAGAATGAACATTGCTCACAGAGGTTCATGCTTTAGAGTCAGACTAAGATCATCTAATGTTGGTCAAACCATGAACATTAAAAATAAAAATCAACTGCACTGCTGAATAAAGTAAAAGAGCTGTTGAATGATAAAGATCTGTATTGTATTGTTTAATGTAATGATTGTGAATGATTTAATTTATTGTATTAAAGTTTGGAGAAAAGCAAGCAAAACATTTACAAATCCTATTTTTATTTGACAAAATGAGCTATAAGAATTACCAGTAGGCAGTGTAGTAGGGTTGGGCAATATTGCCAAAAAACATTAATCACGATTAATTGTGGTATTTAGGCRATAACGATTCATTTGACGATTAATCCCCTGGAGTCCCTGGTCACCCTTTAGTCACATGACCAATTTAGTGGGAAAGATTCTTCATAAAAAATCTGTTCCAAATTGTGTCAAAATTGCGGACTTCTTCAGGCTGTACATCAAATTTAAAATTGTGTTGATAGATAATTGTATTATAATTGTAATGTAATTAATTAATTACACAACTTTTTTCGTCATATTTGAAGCAGAGAGGAGCACCGAGCGGACTGACTGACATTAATCGTATTATCGTCAAGTGCAAACAAAAATCGATTAACGTTTTTCTGACGATTAATCGCACACGATACGATTATGCCCAACCCTACAGTGTAGGTCACTCAAATATTTATTTCATCATTTGTAATTATAACAATTTCATGATTTGGTTGAATGTAGTACTTTACAATTCATTAAGCCCATAAAATATTTTACCTCTAAAAATTCAATTAAAATGGTTAAAAGAACGTCATTAAAACCTTAGAGGAATGGAATTTTTTTGTAAAAATATTTTTAACGAGTCTGAAGGAGCGTTTCAGTGTTATTCATGGAACAGGTTTGTGGAACTGTCTTGACATCAATATAAAAACTTGTAAAACAGTTAATTTAAAAAGATGATTAGGTTAATTTTGTTGAAGTGTGGCACCATGTAGTGTTTGGTGGAAATAGAATGTGGTGATGCCTGATATTTTTGTTTTCACTTTGGAGATGATTCAAGTCTAAGTTTTTTGTAGATTTTTTTTAAATAAGGGGCAGAAATTATACGATTTTTTTCTTCTTTCTGCACTCTTTTCATTCAGTTCTTTTTTAATGATTATTTTTTTGGYTTTGTTTCTTTTAATGAATCATATAAATACATAAAAACATTGTACGAGGTCTCGTATGATAGAAGAAGCGATGCTCACAGACAAACAGGGTTGACTCCAACAGTTAATAAGATCTCAAGCAATGAGTAGCACATAGCATACATGTTGGAAAAGAGTCTCAGCTACAACTACAAGAAATTCCAGCTCAGTATCTGTTAAACTGACTGAATTATAGCCAGTTTTGTGTTTTCTAAAGCCAGTTGGTGGTGGCAGCCATCTTGAAATGGGTTGGCTCCAAAAGTTATTCAGTTGTAGATGTCCATCCATTGATGTACTTTCTGCAAGTTTCATTATAATTTCTCCAGTGGTTCAAGAGATATTTCAGTAGTAGACACAACAAACCCCCACAAAGGTACTGGCAAACATAATCCTCCACCTTYGCCTTTCAGGTGCCTGTAACAAAGCTCTGACCTGTAAGGTGGGTCTAATTTCAGATTCAGATTCAGCCTAGTTTGGCTCTTTAAAAAAGGGTCATTTTACTGACTGAAGGAGGGGGAGATTTACCGTTTATTTCAAAAACCCATTTGATTTAAGGATTTACTCTGTATATATTCTGTGTTGTCCTGCTCAGACAAGCTATAGTAGATGTATGAAAAGATAAGGAATGAAATAAAGAGGGCACGCAAGTCTTCAGTTCTGCATCATCTGCCTCCAACAAAAACAGCTAAGCACCCAGAAGCAGCGGTGACAATGAAATAAAAGGTCGTATGAGTGTATCGGTGCAAATCCTTTGTCTGTGTTCACAGACCAGCAGAGTCGTGCACTCGAACCTATAATCAAGTTTTTGACTCTCCCTGCTTCGTGATTTAATCTGTAAACAAAACAGAATGCTGGGTGGCAGAGGGCTGACTTTGTCTATGATTTGACAAAGCTCCTGTAAACAAAGATGAAACAAAATCATTCAAATGTGTGTTTATCTAGTAAATACATTTACTCAGGAGCTCTGAATAATTATAGACCTGTATTCAGACTCCCATTCATTGAAAAAAAAACTCTTGAAAGAATAGCTGTAAATACATTTTCGAGGACATCTGGACAGAAAAAAGTGAGGAGTTTCAGTCAGGGTTTAGAGCTCATCATAGCACAGAAATGTTACTAATAATATTCTCATGGCCTCAAAGAGGACTTGTCCTGTTAGAACTCAGTTCTTCATTTGATACAATTGTTCACAATATCCTATTATAAAGGCTTGAACAGGATGGGAGTACAGAAACAAGTCTAAATTAGTTTAAATCATATTTATTTATAGATTCCAGTTTGWAAATGTTAATAATGAATTGTCTGTTAATCATGGAGTTCCTCAGGGTTGAGTGTTTGAACCAATGCTTTTTTACTTTATTTATGCTGCCATTAGACAAAGTTATTTAACAGCATGAGACAGAACACTTCACTCTCAGACTACAGGTTTACTTGTGGTTCCTAGAGTTTCTAAAAGTACGATGGGTTTCCAGTTATCAGGCTTCTCTCTTGTGGAACCAGCTTCCAGTTTCTGTCTGTGAGGCTGATGCCCTGTCTATTTTTGAAACTAGATTGAAGAATTTATTTTTCTATGAACTGCAATAAGAGCAATACTGTTTTCAACTTTGGCTGTGTGTGTTCATCTGTTAACAAAATATCTGATAAGCTTTAAGACTGATTTTAATGAACCTCTCAGAAACATTTAATTAAGAACCGGGTTTTCTGCAAATTATTCAGGCTTCCAAATACTGAAGACTTTCTTACAGATGGACATCAACAACTGATTAATTTTAAGAGTCCACCCAATTCAAGATGGATGTCTAAGTTTAGTCATTTTAGCTAAAACAAAAATGTCTGTAACTCAGTGAAATTTACAGATATTAAGGAACAGTAGGTTTTTAGTCACAGGAGAAAAAAACAAACTATAGATATGATGAACACCTAGCTATTTCAGAATGTCAAAACTCATTTTGTAAAATCTTATTAATGTAATAAACTCATTTTGTGTCACAATGTGCTAACTGAATGAAATGTCAATTTCTCCTCTGTAAAAAAATAAGTTTTTACTATCCTGAGTGGTGAAATCTGCCCAGTGGGCCTCAGGTGGAACCACTGTTCCTAAAGGTTGAAGGCTTTTGGGGTTAATTGGTGAAGGTTTGACACGATTAAAGAATTTAAGACATAAACATTAAAGAATTMTTTTAATAAAAGTTTGGACTTGCCTTCCACCATCAACATGGGCTCTTTGGCTCCTCCGTGGGCCAACATCTCCCGGCGGTACCGCTCACCCATGTCCCTGCCAAAGACAGGACAGAGAAGATACGGTTACAAATAAATGTTTTCTTCCTCAGCAGCCCCTTTTCTTCAGCCTGCCACTGATGGCAGCCCAGGGCAAAAGTCTCCTCAGATACTTGTTCATGACAGAAAGGTGACAGGAAACGATCTCACAGAGAGGAAAGAGACAGCAAGAAAAGGAAAAGCTAAAGAGAAAACACCAGAGGGCTCAGCTCAGTGGAGGGAGATAAAAGTTGTTGTCATACATAAATGAACCTGGAGGACCCRTTACTGTAGATCAAGGGTGTCCAAATCTGGTCCTCGAGGGCCACTATATCTGCATGTTTTAAAGGTTTCTCTGCTGCAACACACCTGATTTGAATCAGTGGGTGAGGAACAGTTTTCTGCAGAACATAAAGCTGTGATTCAAGCATTTAATCAGGCGTATGGAGCAGGGAATCAAGTAAAAAATGCAGGGTACCGGCCCTCAAGAACCAGAACTGGACAACCTTGATGTAGATGTATTTGTGCATCTGTGGATCACAGCAAACCTCTGGTGGGTCAGCTTTCACATTTTTCATATCGACTCTTCAGTGTCAGTTCATGGCAGCCTGATGGAAGGCATCAATCKCTGTGCTCCAAACAGAAACCAGGTTTACACTTTGCATTAAATTTTTTTAACTGTCTCAACACTTCCACAAGGAAAGAAAAAAGGGTCAAAACTATGAGTTAAGAGAAACATTTGTCTTAACTCTCTCTGTATAAATTAAGAACGCACCAATCAACAAGCAAACGACTGGAATGAAACGATTTTCAGCTCAACCAGCTGCAGAAGCACCAAGACTTAATGCTAATTCATGCCTGCAGCAGCACGTCCTGGTGTAACAGTTTTTACTAAAAGAATGGCTGTTTGTCATACCTGTAAGGTGTTTCAATATTAAATCATAGGAGCAATAAGGAGCCACTAAAAGAAAATATTTATTTTCTATTTAAAGCTTCAAATTTTATTTAAACAGGTGAAACACTGAAGGCCAGGATTTTGTAAAACATACGGTAATTTGCAACTAGGTTCATATAAATATCAAGATGTTTGTATCAGGCAGTAAACTGACTATAGTTATATTATTCTTACATTATTCTTCCCTTTAGTTGGTTTTGTAGAAAAAAAAACCTTAATTGTCCAGTGATACGGTGCTATTTGTTTTTATATGAGCAAATAGTGACAGTTTCTGAGAAAAATTTAAAATATCTAACATTTTATTTTGAACGCATGGTCAGATTTTCAGGTCAGTTTGTAATTAGATAAAATTAATATTTTATATGTTGTTTGTTTCACTTCATAAAACAAAAAAGACACAAATTGGAAAAGGCCAAAACCGTTTTACAGAAATTAAAAACTAGAATCAACCAAGAAATCTGTAATTGGTGCATCTCTTGTGAAAATAGCAAGTAACAGGGTTCTTTTGCAAAAACTCTGTTAAATGAAGCTGCCATTTTGAATCCCTATAATTATATTTCCTAAAGGTGAAAGTTTTTAGCCTTCAAATATAATGTCACTAGATTTTTAAGCATTTTAACAGCTTAACTTTCTAAACTCATAAAACATAAAAAGTGAAATTAAAATCTTCTATTTATTTTTACTTCAAATTATACAGTTCCTTACATAAAAAAATAACTAGTTTTCATTTATTTTTCAAAAACAGTCAATCAGTGAAAAACACTTTATTAAAAAACACCAAGGCAGTATTTGCACTCTTGTTAGAGGCTCTTCCTATAAATGATTATTAAATGTTATTATTGAAATCTCACCTATTTAAAGGATCCTGAACGAAGCACTGTTTCCACAACATGGAGGCCACGGCTCGAGACATGAGGTATGAGTAGTACTTGGCCCCGTAGCCAATYAGGTGGCTGAATCTCAGCTGCCACGCCTAAAGAGAAAAGAGAAATAGAAACATCAGGTGAGCTACAGTTCAACTTTGGCTGCTTAGTACAGATTTGATGGACAATAAAACCCCCGTGAATACAGACAAAAAACAAGGTCAGAAAGAAATGACTAATGTTTAAAAATATTGGTTCAGATTCAATCAAAAACACAAATAAATACATTTTACAAAAAAGTTTAAGGCAGGGCTATTCAACTAAATTGCTCCGGAGGCCACAGTTAATGCAGACCAACAGCTC